CACGTCTGTGCATGCACACGGGTGTACACGCAGAGCCCCGCTCGCACACCCCCTGGCAGGGAAAGGCCCGGGATCCGGCTCCCCCCAGGCAAACCCCACTCCGGGCCCTGGCGAGCTGTTGAATCGCCTCGTTGTGGCTTTTGGGCCCGTGGCTTCCGTCCGAGTGGGGCACAGAGGCCTGGGTGAGAGTCGGGCCTGCCTTGCAGCGGGCACTGAGGGTGTGCTCAGACCTCTCTCGGTGGCGCCTTCACCTTTTCGTGCCTGGGGTCAGGGCACTGCAGAACCCCGTCGCCGCCCCCCTCCCCCACACACACACAGCAGCTGGCACCCAGGCGGCGTGGTGGACGGGACACCCCTGTTCAGCCCCACAGAATCTGCGTGGGTTTTCGTTGTGTTGGTGGCAAGGGCTGCGCCCTGCGGGGTGGGGGTCATCATGGTGGTGCCCTGTCCAGAGCCCACACACCCCCGCGGCACAACTGGCCTGGCCTGCTTGCACCCCACGCCCTGCAGGCTGAAGGGGGTGAGAATCCTGGGCTCAGAGTCAGCCCCGGGGAGTTCCAGGCTCCCCTTGGCTCTCCGGGTCCTGGCAAGGGAGGCGGGGGTGACAGTAGCTGCTTGGGGTCCTCCGTATCATGGCCTGTGGCCATGGGCCACTGTGTGAGTTGGCCTGGCCAGCCCTCGTCCTGGAAGTGTTGGTCCTCAAGGCGCCTCTTCACGGAGGCTGGGGGTGGGGGTCCCTCGATCCCCACTTTTAACTGGCAGGGTAGTCCGCCCTGTCGACCTTGGGGAAGCCGTTTCCCAGAGGGCAGGCAGAGCTGCCCCTCGGGGCGGCCCCCCACTTCGGGCAACTCTGGCCTAGGACTGTCCCGGCCTGGCGGTGTGTGCGGTGCTCGGGCGTGTTTACTGTGGACCAGCTGGGCCCAGCGGCCGGTGGTGGTTTCTGATGGGGCGTCGGCTGTCTGGGCTTGGAGGATAACTCAGGAGCCCGCCTGCCTGCAGAAGCCCTTGGAGCTGTTGGAGCCGGGGGGCTTCACACGGAACCTGGGTTCACGGTCCCCAGCCTCACAGGCTGACCCGGCCAGACTGCAGGGCCCAGGTTCTCGGCTGACCGTCCAACCAGCCTGCGATCCACACAGGCGGGCCCCGGGGCTCCGCTGACCGCAAGCTCAGCGCTGGGCCATTGAGAGCAGGTGCACGGGGACTTGGGGGACCCTTCCTGGGTCATGGCGCCGTGACTTCCTTTTTTGTTTGGGGCCACACTTGGCGGTGCTCAGGGACTTCTGGGGCCCAGGCCAGAGCCTGAGGCAGCCGCGCACAGGAAGGTGCCCTCCCCTCGACCCCGGGGCTCCGGCAGTCACCACTTCCCCTGCGGAGAAACGGGGAGTTTCCCTGTGGTGCCCACCGCCCTGTCGGCAGGGGGCTTCCTCCTGAGAGGCCCCGCTGGCCCTCTGGCCGGTTGCCTGGCCTCCCCCTGCTGGGGCCGTGCCATGGACGCAGGCGTCCGTTCACAGGCCCGGGCGGAGGGCTCCTGCTGCGTCCCCCTCAGGCCTTGTCCACTGCAGGGGAGCCCTGACCTCGTGGACCCGTGGGTGTGCGGGTGGCCACAGGCTGCTGAGTCCGAGGGTCGGCCCCCGGGTGGGGGTGGGCGTCCCAGGCCTGGGTCCTGTGTGCCGTCTGTTTTTTTGAGGGGTGGGTCACGCCTGGCCAAGCTCAGGGCTTATTCCCGGCTCTGCACTCAGGGACCTTATGGGATGCCGGGATCGAACCCGGGTCAGGCGCGTGCCCGGCAAGTGCTCCCCGCGGGGCGGGGGCCGTGCGGGCGCCTTCTGGCGTCTGGCCTGGCCCACACCGGGGCGAGGGCCTCTGTCAGGCTGGAGGAGGCCAGGGGGTGCCCTGGCCCTGGTGGCTCTGCTCGCCCTGTCTGTCCAGCGGGGCAGAGGCCGCCCCGCCCCGCTGTCTGTCCATCTGCCTGGCCTTTTGTCTTGCTGTCTGCAGGCTTCCCGGCCCGCCCCCTCTCTGCCCCCGGCCCTTCATCCAGACGCTGGGCTTAGAATAATCTCCCGCACGGCCTGGCCGTCTGTTCCGACTTCCTTCCTCCGAGGGACTCCCGGGCGTCTGCGCCTCCTCTTCTCTCCTCCCCCTCCTCCTCCTCCTCCTCCCTCCCCTCTCCTCCTCCTCCCCCCCTCCTCCTCCCTCCCTTCTCCTCCTCCGAGCCTCCGAGGCGCCACCCAGCGCCCGCCTGCCCTCCCTCCCGGGAACCAGCTACCCGCCCCTGTTAGAGCAGGGCGGTGGGGGGGGCGGGCGAGCCCAGCCCCTTCCCTGCAGGACGGCGCCCACGGGGCCCTGGGCCTCTGCGGCCTCTGCTGCGGCGGGAGTTCTGGGTCAGGATCAGCTGCCAGCCCACCCCTGCGAGGCCTTGGCCCCCTGCTTCCTGGAGGAGCAGAAGCCCGGCCCCCCAGCGAGGCGCTGAGAACTGCCGCAGGCAGGCGGAGGGCCGAGTTACGAGGGGGCACTGCTGGCGGTGCCAGCCCCTCCTGCCCTCCCCCAAGGCTGTGGGCTGCTGCCTCCGCCAGGGGGTCCTCCCCCCCCCCCAGCACCGCTTTCTGCAATGAAGAATCACCCAGAGGGGAGATCAGAGCCTGCTGCACCCCTCCTGGCGGGCGTAATTAGGGGTGCCTGAGCTGGGCCCACAGAAAATCCATCGCGGCTATTAGCCGGTAATTACAGAGCTGGAGGGACCAGGCCTGAGGTCCGGGCTCTGGGCTGGCAGGATGAAAGGGAGCCGTAATTAGGGCTGGGCGGCGCAGCTGATTAATGGGGCCCAGGCCGGCCTAATGGGGTGTTAGGCTCCCCAGGGGGCACTGGGGGTGGCAGACACCCAGCTCCCCGCCCTCTGGGGGCCATCCTGTCAGTGTGGTGGGGGCTTGGGGGTTCCTGCCCGGTGTGGTGGGTGTTCGGGGGTCCTGTCCGGTGTGGCGGGGGTTTGTGGGTCCTGCAGTGTGGCAGGGGTTTGGGGGTCCTGCTGGTGTGGCGGGGGTCCGGGGTCCTGCCGGTGTGGTGGGTGTTCGGGGGTCCTACCCGGTGTGGTGGGGGTTCGGGTGTCCTGACTGGTGTGGTGGGGGTTCGTGGGTCCTGCCAGTGTGGCAGGGGTCCGGGGTCCTGCCCAGTGTGGTGGGTGTTCGGGGGTCCTGCCCAGTGTGGTGGGTGTTCGGGGGTCCTGCACGGTGTGGTGGGTGTTCGGGGGTCCTGCCTGGTATGGTGGGGGTTCGGGGGTCCTGTCCGGTGTGGCGGGGGTTTGGGGGTCCTGCAGTGTGGCAGGGGTTTGGGGGTCCTGCTGGTGTGGCGGGGGTCCGGGGTCCTGCCGGTGTGGTGGGTGTTCGGGGGTCCTACCCGGTGTGGTGGGGGTTCGGGTGTCCTGACTGGTGTGGTGGGGGTTCGTGGGTCCTGCCAGTGTGGCAGGGGTCCGGGGTCCTGCCCAGTGTGGTGGGTGTTCGGGGGTCCTGCCCAGTGTGGTGGGTGTTCGGGGGTCCTGCACGGTGTGGTGGGTGTTCGGGGGTCCTGCCTGGTATGGTGGGGGTTCGGGGGTCCTGTCCGGTGTGGCGGGGGTTTGGGGGTCCTGCAGTGTGGCAGGGGTTTGGGGGTCCTGCTGGTGTGGCGGGGGTCCGGGGTCCTGCCGGTGTGGTGGGTGTTCGGGGGTCCTACCCGGTGTGGTGGGGGTTCGGGTGTCCTGACTGGTGTGGTGGGGGTTCGTGGGTCCTGCCAGTGTGGCAGGGGTCCGGGGTCCTGCCCAGTGTGGTGGGTGTTCGGGGGTCCTGCCCAGTGTGGTGGGTGTTCGGGGGTCCTGCACGGTGTGGTGGGTGTTCGGGGGTCCTGCCTGGTATGGTGGGGGTTCGGGGGTCCTGTCCGGTGTGGCGGGGGTTTGGGGGTCCTGCAGTGTGGCAGGGGTTTGGGGGTCCTGCTGGTGTGGCGGGGGTCCGGGGTCCTGCCGGTGTGGTGGGTGTTTGGGGGTCCTGCCCCGTGTGGTGGGGGTTCGGGTGTCCTGACTGGTGTGGTGGGGGTTCGTGGGTCCTGCCAGTGTGGCAGGGGTCCGGGGTCCTGCCCAGTGTGGTGGGTGTTCGGGGGTCCTGCACGGTGTGGTGGGTGTTCGGGGGTCCTGCCTGGTATGGTGGGGGTTCGCGGGCCCTGACCGGTATGGCGGGGGTTCGGGGGTCCTGCTGGTGTGGCGGGGGTTCGGGGGTCCTGCCCGGCTTGGGCCCAGTTCCTTGGATGGGGGCGGGGACCACCCAGCCTACACCCCTTTGCTCCTTGCTGGGGGGTGCACTGGCCGGAGGAGGACCCCCAACCCCCGCCAGGAAATACACCCGCAGCAGCCGGTGGTGTAGACGTAACTGACCAGGAGGGAGTTAAGGAAGAGCTGGTGTGTCTGGGGGCCTCCCTGGCTCCGCTCAGGCCTTGGGCCGGGGGCTGCCCGCCCCGTTCCCAGCGCCGGGGGTCCCGCCCTCCCGCTCCTGCGAGGGTCTAATTTTAGTCGGCCCTAATGAAGCTGCTTATTTGGATTCTATTTTCGGCGCCTGACGTCACGGGCCGGCTCCCCCCACCGGGCCGACACGGCAGGGACTTGGGGGGTGGTGCCGTGCTTGGGGGGGCACGCGTCGCCACGCAGGGGTCCCGGGATGCCCCCGTGAGGGGCGCTGCAGAGGTGCCGGGGCACAGAGGAAGCCGCGGGCAGACCGGCCAGGGCGCAGCCCCCGGGGCCACGAGGCCGGCCCGGGTGACTGGCCGCAGCTGGGGACCAGCCCCCGCCCGGCTCCGGAGGGGCCTTTGTCCCCGAGGGGCGTCCCCGCGGCCCCCTGCCTCAATGGGCCCTTTCATCGGCTGCGCCCCCGAGGCTGCGCGCGCGCTCGGCGGGAGGGCCCTGGCGCCGGGCACCGCCGGGCACGGCTCGAGGGTCCCTGCGCTCCGGTGCGCCCCACGGTGACGCTGCTTCTCTCCCGTTCCAGGCATGAGCCATGAGCCCAAGTCCCCCTCACTAGGGATGCTCTCGACCGCCACCCGGACCACCGCCGCCGTCAGCCCCCTCACCCCGTCGCCGCTCAATGGCGCGCTGGTGCCCGGCGGCAGCCCTGCCAGCAGCTGCGCCCTCTCGCAGGCTGCGCCCTCGTCCAGCTTCGCCGCCGCGCTGCGCAAGCTCGCCAAGCAGGCCGAGGAGCCCCGAGGTAAGCCGGCCCGCGGCCGGCAGGGGCTTCTGCGCCCTCCGACCCGTCCGTCCGTCCGGGAGCTGGCCAGGGCTCGCCCGTCCGCGTGTGTGCGCGAGGGTCGTGGTCACGGCCGGACTGCGGGGGCGGGGGGGGAGAGTGGAGCTGTGCTCACAGGCCAGGGGCCCTGGGCCGCCGCCCACCCTTCGGTGTCCGCAGGTCCACCGTGGACGGGTCTGACTTCTGGACCCGCCTTGCTTGGGCCTCTGCTGCCTGGTGGGGAGGGTCGCGCTCAGGACGCCAGCCCAGGCCTGGGCTGTCCCAGGCAGTCCCAGGGAGTCCCCGGGGGGGGGGGGGGGATCACCACCCCACGTGACCCTCTCCGCCCCATGGAGACGCCAGGCCCCCTGCCCCCCACAGCTCTGCCCCTCAGGGTCACCAGCCCTGCGAGTCCTGGCGACCCCACATCTGAGGGACGGTGGGCTGTGAGTGCTGCATCAGCCAAACGCAGGGCCTGGCCATGCTGTCCCTGGGGCCAGGATGTCCTGGGGTCAGTGTGACCTCAGGGGTGGTCAGTGTGACCCAGGAGTCAGTGCATCCTGGGGCCTGTGTGTCCTGGGGTCTGTGTGAACTGCGGGGTCATTGTGTTCTTGGTGTGTCAGCCTCACCTTGGGGAGTGTGTCCTGGGACCTGCGTCACCTGGGGGGGTCAGTGCCATCTGGGGTCGGCGTGGCCTGGGTCCCGGCGTCCCTGAGGAGAGGCTGTGGGGGCGTCTCTCCCTCTGGCTGAGACTGGGGTCCGCGAGCCCCTTCCCTGGGAGGCCCGTGGGGGAGGCTCCGCCCAGCCGGTCTGGGGGTCCTGCCCGGAGGGGGACCCACAGGAGCTCGGGGGGCCGAGGGCAGCTGGCCCAGCGCCCCTCACCGTGCCCCCCCACAGGGTCGTCGCTGAGCAGTGAGTCGTCCCCCGTGTCGTCCCCGGCCACCAACCACAGCTCGCCGGCCAGCACGCCCAAACGCGCACCCATGGGCCCCATCATCGTGCCCCCTGGGGGCCACAGCGTCCCCAGCACGCCCCCCGTGGTCACCATCGCCCCGACCAAGACCGTCAACGGCGTGTGGAGGAGTGAGAGCCGGCAGGTGCGTGGAGCCCAGGGTGGCTGCGGCTGCAGCCAGCGCCCCCGTCTGGCAGCAGCTGCCCCGTGTCCCGTCCTGCCCCGGTGCTGTCCCCACTCCTCTGTCCTGCCCCTCCCCCACCCGTGTCCCCGGTGCTGGTCGAGTCCCCCAGGGATGCAGGGGCCATGGGGGGGAGGGTAAAGACCCCCTGACCCTGGCCAGGGCCTCAGCTGCAGCCCCGGAGCAGGTGGGGTGCTGGCTGGGGCCCCTGAGGACAGGAGGCGGGCGTGGGTCCAGCTCTTCCTTCCCACGGGCCGTGTGCCTGGTCACCCGCGTAGTCCTCAGCTGGTGTCCATGGGGTCCTGGTAGTGTTGGGGGGTGCTGGGAGCAGGGCGGGGCGCCCTGGGGGGAGGGGCTGGGGCTCACCAAGGGCCCTGGGCAGTCTCCACTGCAGGGCCTGAGAGAGGCAGGACAGGGACGGGCGGTGCTGCTGCGGGTGCCGCCCACGGTTAGGCAGAAGGTCCCCAGGCCCGCCAGGAGTGATCCCCGAAGGCAGAGCCCCGAGCCCAAACCGAAGCAGCCAGGGGAGGGGCCGCCGTGCCAGGAGGGAGCACGGGGGAGCACCGTCGGCCCAAGGGTGGGGGAGGGGGGTGCCGGCCCACGCCCGCACACGCTGGAGAGGCAGCAGCTCCAGAACGGGCGCGCGCGAAGGAAGGAGGGCGTGCTTGAGTGTGTGTGTTCGAGCAAATGTATTTGTGTGTGTGTGCGCGCGCGTGTACAAGGAAGTGTGTGTACACGTGCGTGTGCCAGTGAGTGTGTGTGTACAAGCGTGCATGCGTGCGTCCAAGTGCGGCCTGAGCTCCCCGCTGTCCTGCAGGATGCGGCCTCCCGGGGTGGCGGCAGCGCGCGCGAGCGCCTCATCGTGGAGCCCCCCCCTGCCCCAGGAGAAGGCGGGCGCCCCGGCCATCCCCTCCCACCTGCTCAGCACCCCCTACCCCTTCGGCCTGTCCCCCAGCTCTGTGGTGCCAGACGCCCGCTTCCCTCCGCTCAGGTGAGTGTGCGGGACAGAGACCCCCCCCCCCCCCCCCCCCCGCCTCATCCCACCCTCCCCGCCGCCCTCCCCCCGCCCTCCCTCACGGCTCACTCCCGCCCCAGCCTGCAGCGCCCGGTGCCTCACGTGGTGCCGCCCAGCACGGTGACGGAGGATTACCTGCGCAGCTTCCGGCCCTACCACACCGCCGAGGACCTGCGGGTGTCCTCGCTGCCGCCGCTGGGCCTGGACCCGGCCGCCTACTACCACCCCGGCTACCTGGCGCCTCACCCCTTCCCGCACCCGGCCTTCAGGTGAGCAGCGCCCGCACCGGCCCTCGGGGACTTCCAGGGTCCCCGGGCTGCCAGTGGGGCGGGTCCCCGGGGCCCGCTGGGCTGCCCTGTCCCCAGGGTCGCTCTCCTGGACTCACGGCGTCCCCCCGCAGGGTGGAAGACTCCTACTGCCTGTCGGCCCTGCGCTCCCCGTTCTACCCCGTGCCCACGCCGGGCTCCCTGCCCCCCCTGCACCCGTCGGCCATGCACCTGCACCTCTCGGGGCTCCGCTACCCGCCCGAGCTGGCCCACTCGTCCCTGGCGGCTCTGCACTCGGAGCGCATGTCCACCCTCAGCAGCGAGCGGTGAGTGGGGACCCGGCCGAGGGGTCCGCGGGGGGCCCGGGGGCCTCTCTCGGGGGAGCCCCGCCGCCGGCCAGCCCGGTCACGGCTCCCGGCCCTGCAGGCTGCAGCTGGACGAGGAGCTACGGCGGGAGCGGGAGCGCGAAGCCGACCGGGAGCGCGAGCGGGAACGGGAGAAGGAGCGCGAACGGGAACGGGAGAAGGAGCGTGAGCGGGAGAAGGAGCGTGAACGCGAGCGGGAGCGGGAGAAGGAGCTGGAGCGGGAGCGCGAGCGGGAGCGGGAGCGCGCCCGCGAGAAGGAGCTGCTGGTGGCCAAGAGCCTGGAGCCCGCCTTCCTGCCCGCGGCCGAGCTGCACGGGCTCCGCCACGCCGCCGAGGAGCGCGCCAAGCCCGCCGAGCGCCTGACGCCCACCCGAGCAGGTGCCCGCCCGGGGCTGGGCTCGCGCGGGCGTGGACTCGGGGCCTTGGGGGGTCCCGGCCCCGGCAGGGGGGTGAGCCGGCACGGGCCGGCGTGACCGCGCCTCCTCCCCACAGAGAAGCTGAAGGAGGTGTGCCTGGCGGTGCCCAAGGCCGGCCCGCAGCCCCTGCACCCGCTGCCCGCCCCGCACCACGCGGTGCCCGGCCTGCTGTCGGGCCACGGGCTCTTCTCGCTGCCGGCCAGCAGCGCGGCCGCGGCCCTGCTCATCCAGCGCACCAACGAGGAGGAGAAGTGGCTGGCGCGGCAGCGGCGGCTGCGGCAGGAGAAGGAGGACCGGCAGACGCAGGTGTCCGAGTTCCGCCAGCAGGTCCTGGAGCAGCACCTGGACATGGGCCGCCCGCCGCCGCCCGGCGAGGCCGAGCACAGGCCCGAGAGCGCCAGGTGGGCTGCGGGCCGGGACCGGCGGCGGGCGGGTGGGGCCGGGCCTGGGACCCCGCGCGTGCCGCCCCCCGGCCATCCTGACCCGCTGCCCCTTCCCAGGCCCGTGTCCAGCCGCCACGAGCCGGGCAGCCGGGACCCCCCGCAGCACTTCGGGGGCCCCCCACCCCTCATCTCGCCCAAGCCCCAGCACCACCCTGTGACCACGGCCCTCTGGAACCCCGTGTCGCTGATGGACAGTGCCCTGGAGCCTCGGCGCGGGCCCGACAGCCACCCGCCGCCCGGCCGCCCGGCCGCCGTGCCTCTGGTCAAGGCGGAGCGCGTGCACGGCCCCGAGAAGGCCGACGAGGGGCCCCGGAAGCGCGAGGCCGCCCCCGCGGACAAGTTCCTGCCCCCCGCCCGCGAGGCCGGGAGCCTGGAGCACGCGGCCTTCCCGCCCGGCCCGGGGCCCTTCCTGGCGGAGCTGGAGAAACCCTCGCCCACGACGCTGCTAGGCTCGCCGCGGGCCGCCCTCGCCCAGCCCGGCTCCCCGTACCGGCCCGCCCTGCCCGCCCTGCCCGCCGGGCCCCGGGGCCCCGACCCCGCCTACGTCTACGACGAGTTCCTGCAGCAGCGCCGGCGCCTGGTCAGCAAACTGGACCTGGAGGAGCGGCGGCGGCGGGAGGCCCGGGAGAAAGGTGGGCAGCGCCCCGGCTGGGGCCCGAGCTGCGGAGGGCGGGCAGTGAGCGGGCGGGGCCGGGCCCGGGGCGCGCTGACGGCCCGTCCCCCCCCAGGCTACTTCTACGACCTGGACGACTCGTACGACGAGAGTGACGAGGAGGAGGTCCGCGTCCACCTGCGCTGCGTGGCCGAGCAGCCGCCCCTCAAGCTGGACACGTCCTCGGAGGTACGTGCCTCGCGCCCGCCGCGGCCCCCCCACCCCCTCCCGGGCCCTCGTGGCTGAGCCCCGTCTCCCCCCAGAAGCTGGAGTTCCTGCAGCTCTTCGGCCTGACCACGCAGCAGCAGAAGGAGGAGCTGCTCAGCCAGAAGCGGCGGAAGCGGCGGCGACTGCTGCGGGAACGGAGCCCGTCGCCCCCCGCCGCCAGGTGCCGGCGCCAGACGCCCTCGCCGCGGCCCGTGCTCTGCACCCGCTACAGCCCCGACGACATGAACAACGGGCCCAACTTCGAGGAGAAGAAGAAGTTCCTGGCGGCCTTCAGCCTCACCCACATCAGCGCCGAGAAGAGGAAAGGTGAGCCCACGGCAGCCCCGCCGGCCACTCGCGCCCGGCTCGAGGGCCACGCCAGACGGGCACCCTGCAGCGGGCGGGTGGGCGGGCGCGAGCGGCCCAGGTGCGAGCCGACCGCTGCCAGCCCCGTCTCCCGCCCCTGGGCGCAGCTCTCAGGGACACGGGGTCATCGGAGTTCTGGGCGCTCCCGCCCTGGGGTCCACGCTGGCCCTGGGGTCGGTGAGGGGCCGGCCCTGCCTGTGCCCGCACCCGCCGAGTCGGGAACCCTCTTCCGTGGGTCCCTCCGATCCTTTCTTGGCTGGGGAGCCTCTTGCCCGGCCTCTCAGGGCCATCCGGGCTGTGGCCTGGCAGGTCACACGCCGGCTCTGTGGGGGCCCGGCCCCTCGGGGAGGACACGGCCCGTGACGGGCGCTTCTCTCACAGACAAGGAGAGGCTGGAGGAAATGCTCCGGGCCCTGAAGCAGAAGGCGCTGTCCGCGGCCCTGGACTCGCTCCGGAGCTCCCCGAGGGACCGCGCTGTCTCCCTGAGCGGTAAGTCCGCGGGGCCGGCCGCTTCCTGCCACCCTCGGGTGCTCTGAGCACGCTCGCTCCTTTCTTCCCTTTATTTTTCCTTCTTCCCTCCTTCCTTCCTTCCTGCGTTCTTCCTGCCTTCCTTCTTGCTCCCCAGCTGCCTTCCTGGGGCCCCTTTGGGCCTGTCGCTGCCGCTTGGCGCCCAGCTCAGGCCCCACCTGACCGGCGCTCGCTCCACGTCCTGCCCCTGGTGGCGGCCACGCCGTGTGTGGGGTCTCTGGCTGCAGTCAGTGACCGACGTCGCCCGTGCTGTCTGTCTGCAGAGCCCGGCACGCAGCCCGCCGCCGTGGACGCCGAGAAGCCCGGGGTCGCCGCCGCCTCCCTGTCTGACATTCCCAAGGCCACGGAGCCCCTGCGAGCCCCGGACCCCGCTCCCGCCAGCGGCGAGAAGAGCAGGAAGGGCCTGAGCCTGCCGCCCGGCCTCCAGGGCACCGCGCCCCACAGCCTCGACGGCAAGACCAAGCCCTGGGCGCCCTTCGTGGCCGAAGAGTTCGCGCACCAGTTCCACGAGTCGGTGCTGCAGTCCACGCAGAAGGCCCTGCAGAAGCACAAAGGTGCGCCCAGTGCGGCCTCCCCAGGTCGCCCTCGTCCCCAGGGCCCTCCCTTTGCTTCCCGGGACTCAGAACCGAGCAGCAGGCTCGATCCTCGCCCCCGTCCTGCCAGGAGCCAGTCCTGAACACAGAACCAGGAGCAGCCCCGAGCACAGAGTCAGGAGCTGGCCCTGAGGGGACACCCCGGCCGGTCAGGCACACGGGAGCCCCAGGTTGGACCCCAAAGCCCCCGTCCCTCCCGCCAACACGCCTGTGAACTCCTGGGGCCAGAAGCGAATGGCCCGGTTAGCAGTGCCAAGACTGTTGAAATGTCGGTGATAGCCTTGGCGTGTGCGTCTGTCACGTGGGCCGATGCCCAGGCAGCAGTGGGCACTGGGGTTCTCCGTAGTTGGGGGTCACCCAGCAAGAAGAATAGCCCCCCACCCTGTGTAAGGGCCTAGCACCTGGGCTTTGGTCATCTGAGGAAGAGGCCAGTGGCCAGCGAGGGAATGCAGGGCTGAGGACCACGTGCAGCCGACCCCTCTGTGGCCCAGGAGTGGGCGCTGGGCACTGCCGTGGGAAGCTCCTGCTTCCCGGCGGGCATTGGCTGGCAGATCCCCAGCAGAATGCGCCCCAGGCAGCCACAAGGCACCGTTGCTCCCCGAGGCCTTGAGCGTGGGCAGCGAGGCTGAGCCCTTGCCCGGATTCACTTACGAGCCGGACCCACCCCCCACCCCCACCCCCGCTTCCCCTGTGGTCAGCGGCCCGTGGCCCGTTTCCATCCGCAGGGAGCACGCTGCTGTGTGCAGACCAGCACCAGGTCGAGGCGTCCGTCCACTACAACATTCCCGAGCTGCAGTCCTCCAGCCGGCTGCCCCTGCCCCAGCACGACGGCCAGCAGGAGCCCGCCGCGCCCAGGAAGGGCCCCCTCCTTGCCCAGGAGCCGGGCCCGGACTCGGGGGAAGAGGACGAGGAGGACGAGGAGGAGGACGACGAGGAGGAAGGGCCCAGGCCCAAGTGGCAGGGCATCGAGGCTGTGCTCGAGGCCTACCAGGAGCACCTGGAAGGTAGGACGCGGGCCAGAGGCGACCGACCGGGCCGCCCCCTGGCCCCTTTGCCCCGTGGGCCGCCTCGGCCCGCCAGAGGGATCTCGGTGGGGCTGCGGGCCCCGTGGGCGCGACGGCCACCGGGCGGCTCCTTCTCCCCGCAGAGCAACACGTGGAGCGGCAGGTGCTGCAGACCCAGTGCCGGCGGCTGGAGGCCCAGCACTACAGCCTCAGCGTCGCGGCCGAGCGGCTGTCGCACAGCATGGCGGTGAGGCCCGCGCGGGGCCGGGGCCGGGGCGGCCGGTGGGGGTGCGGGCGGGGGCCGGGTTCCTGACGCCAGCGTCCCGCCCCAGGAGCTGAGGAGCCAGAAGCAGAAGGTGGTCTCGGAGCGGGAGCGGCTGCAGGCCGAGCTGGACCACCTCCGGAAGTGCCTTGCCTTGCCCGCCCTGCACTGGCCTCGGGGCTACTTCAAGGGGTACCCCAGGTGACGGCTTCCCTTGCACTAGGCGAACCGATAGCATAGAAATATTATCTATTTTATTACCTTGAATATTTAATATTTTTCACTGGGAGGTTTGAAGCTTCGACGAAACAAACAAAACGAGAATGTGCCATGCATGCCGGGACGGGACCCGCCGGTCACCGTCCGAGGCCGAGGCCCGGCCCTCGCCAACACTAAGGCCTCGCCCGCACCGCCGCTGTCGCTCGCGCCTCCGGCCCGCCTGGCCGCGGCCGCCGTCCCCGGCAGCATGGCCTCGCCTCGCCGCGCCTCGCCGGCTGGACGGTCCCCGCGCTTCCCGGCGCCCGCGCCCGCCCGCCCGCCCGCCGTCCACACACACGCGCGTCCGCTCCGAGAGGAGCCGAGGGTGCTTCAGCCTTGTACTGTGTATATAGAAAAACAAAGTTTTGTATGTTTTTATTACTTTAATTATTGTTATAAAGAGCCTGCCATTTTTAATATGTGGTGGGGGGTCGTTTGTTTTCCTGTTTGGGGGTTCTGTTTGTTTTTTCTGTTTGTTTTTGCTTTTCCGGGCAGAAACTTGCTTTAGTGTTTGTACTGCTGCTGGTCAGGACATTAAAATATTGAAACGTTTTTTAAAGTCCAACGCACTTACCCCGGCGGCGCCCGCGCGACCCTTCCTGTCCGCGCCACACCAGGAAACGCTCCGGGCCTCGCTGGGCTCCGGCGGGAGGCCCGGCTCAGGAGGGTCGGGGTCGGGGGCTGAACCCTAGAGCGGCCGGAGCAGGTGGAAGAGGGGCCTGGAAGGGCCGGTTCGGCTGCAGCGAGCCGGGGTCCCGGCGGGTGGGGGGCAGGCGCGCCAGGCCGAGGGGCAGTCCCAGGGGCCAACGGTGGCTGAAGAGGCATCGCCGGCCCGAGGTCAGAGCAGCCACTGTGCTCCTGGCCCTCGGGTGGGGCCGGCAGGCGCCTCTGCACATCTGCCAGGGAGCTTCCAGTTACCAGCAAACGGAAGAAGGTGCCGCTGAGGAAGGCCCTGCCCTCCCCGGGGCTCGGCCACCACTGGGACCCGTTGCGTGGCGGGGCTGCGGTCAGCCCCCGGGTGGGCCCCCGCTTCTCCCTGCACCTGCTGTCGTGGGCGGGGAGGCCACAGGCCGCCTCGGCCGTCCTCCATCCGTGCTTTGCCAGCTGCCGGGGTAGGAGGGATCCGGCCGCGTGGCCCTCCGAGGCCGGACGCCAGCCACGCCCGCTAGCGGCTGAGCTCCTCATGGCCGGCTTCTCATCAGCGCTTCCTAGGGAGTGGGGGCAGCTCTGGCCTTGGCCGAAGCTGATGGCTGTGCCCTGTGGCCTCCTTGCGGGCTGTGCCGTGCGTGACCGGGGCAGCTGCCCGGGAGAGGCCTCACCTGCAGAACTGGGCGGGCAGGCGGTCGCAGCGGAGCCCGGCAAGGCCCAGTGGGAGGAACCGTTTTTGTTTACGTGATTCGGAACCAGACCTTCACTCGCTGTCCGATGGGCTAGTCGGCCGGGCTGGTAAGGGAACGGCCTGAGCACGCGGGCACCTGAGCCCTGGGGAGCCCGGAGCACTGCAGTGGGGTCTGCACCTGGCCTGGACCGGGCCCGGCCCCACCTCGAGGCTGTCTCAGTGCGGCTGGGACCCGCCGCCAGGGGGCGCTGCCCGGAGACCCGCAGGCCACGCTGTGGGGTGACCCAGCTGGTGCTGTGGAACTCACTGTATTGTATTATTTGTTGAATGTAGTAATTAGGTATTTATGAATATATGGCTGTAATTTCTGACAACATCCCAAAAAATAAAATCCTCCTAAATCAGAGCAAGAGGGAAATCTTTTATTCTCGGGGATTTTTGGTGGGGGGGCGGGGGACACCAGCTGTGCTCCACCCCTGCCCCAGCCCTACAGGGGGTGGGCGTGGGAAGAGCCCGGTGGGTGGACAGTGGAAGGCCAGCCCGCCTCAGTGAGCCGGATGGACACTGGAAGGGTCAGCCCACCTTGGGGAGAGCCCGGATGGATGGACAGTGGAGGAGCCAACCCAACTCGGAGAGCACCTGGATGGACAGTGGAGGGGTCAGCCCGCTTCGGGGAATGCCCAGATGGACAGTGGAGGGGCGCCCGCCCGTTGACCGACCGCCGCGTTCTGCAGTCCAGAGTCACAGGTGTCATGGACACAATCTCTTCTTTCTGCTGTCACTGTCCAGCCCATGGGGTCACATCGTGGACACCGTAGGGAGCAGGACGGTCCTCGGCCAGCAGCCACCCTGAGGCAGCCGGGCTGTGCTGGGGCCCAGCTGGGCACACGTGTCGTCCATCGGGTTCCCGAAGCCTCCGTGCGCTGACCAGCCAGCTACCTCAGCACTGACCTCACTTGTGGAGGGACCCGCCTGCCTGGAGCGCCCTCAGCAGGACAGCCTGGACGCCGCCTGAGGGCCCAGTCCCTCTCCTGCAGCTGAACAGGAAGCCCCAGGCCCCCACCACCCCCACGGGATCTCCAGTTCTCTGCCCCGCGCCTCGGGGGCTCGGGGGATGAAACTGGGGTCAGCCAAACGCAGGACACGCACCTTGATGCCCGGCCTGTCTCTGCAGGCCCCGAGGCCGGGGGCTCGGCGGCAGTGCTCACCAGGGCCGGCTACCAGTCCTGGGACTGGGAGCCCGGAGGGGCCTGCTGGCCGGCGCGCAGCTGGGCCAGGTGGCCGAGCGCCCTGGTGAGGAAGGGCCCGGTGCTGTTGATCTCCAGCAGAGTCAGGTTATCCAGCTAGGACGGAAGACGGACACGCCGCTGCCACTCGAGCCCGCGCGGCCCCCGCCCTGCCCCGCGGCCCACCCACCCCTACCTTGGCGTGAGCCTCCTGCTGCCTCACGAAGCTGTCGGCAGACACCCGGAGCTTGGCCGTGCGCGTGTCCCACAGGTCCTTCACCAGAGTCCGGATCTCGTCGGCTCTGGGGATGTCGTCGGAGGCACTGGGGGGGGGGAGGGGCAGAGATGGCGGGGAAGGACGAGCATGGGGCCACAGCAGCGCCCAGCACACGCGTCCTGTGCTCGCTGTCCACCCAGCGCCCGAGCGTGACCAGGGGAGTCCAGCTGGCCCCGCACTATGGCACCGCTGGGGCTCGGCATCCTCCTGTCCATCTGAGCGGCCCAAGGGTGTCGAGACGGCTCCAGGGGGACGCGCCTGCCAGGCTGTGCCATTGCCCCCCCGGGTCCCGGGCCCCCGCCTCCACCCTCACCCCGCCAGGACCAGGCCAGGCCGGAGAAACCGAAGGGCAGGGGCTGAGCCCAGCTGTGAGGAGCGGGATGGCCCTGGGGACAGCCGCAGCCTGGGACGGGGCGGGTCGGCGAACCCCAGCAGATCCACACCCAGCTCAGAACAGGGAAGAGTGACCCCTGGGCCAGGGAGACGAAAACCCACAAAGTCGGCACCCGAGCACGGCAGGCTGAGCAGCGCTGGCCTCCGCTCCGGACCCTCCCGGCCGGGCCCTCCCCTGAGCGCCCCGATGCGCCCGCCCCCCCCCTCAGCCAGCAGGGAGCCCCGGGCGGGGGTTTGACCCGACTGGCTCTGCTCCGGGGGCACCCAGGCCGCGGGACCCCAGCACCCATCCCCGGGAGGCGACCCCGCGGCAGCACCCAGCGCCTGGCCCCTCCTGCCCACCAGGCGAGCACTTACTGGTTGAGCAGGAGCCGGGTGAGCTCCATGTAGTGGGGGCTGGGCACGGGGGTGAAAGTTTCCTCCTGCCGCTCGTGATCGCGAACCTTCTCCAGCTTCTCTGAGAGCGAGACACGGGCCTGGGCTGGCGGCGTTTCTCACGTGCCGCATGGACACGTCTCCCAGGGGTCTGTCCAGCACCCCCGCCCAGCCTCAGGACCCCACCCGCTCCTGAGCCGTCCCCAGCCCTGCGTTCCCCTCCCCACCCCACCCCCGCCCCACATCACAGATGAGACCACCAGGCGGAGGGGTCTCACTGCCCTAACGACCCCCAAGCCGCAGCGCGGTGAGGCTGCAGGACCAGGAGACTCGGCGGTGTCCTGCAGAGCCCAGCCAGGCCCCCAGGGAGAAGGGGGAAGGGGCGCCCCGGCCAGTGGGACCCCATCGTGCAGCGTGGCCAGGGAGTGTGACCCGTAGGGGCGCAGGCGGGCGCACGGGGCGGCCGCACCCCAGGGGGACACGCTCGGCATGGGACCAGGAGCCTGGGGGTTCCCAGGCCCACCGCCCTCCTGCTCCGCCCCCAACAGAGACGCTGCTCTCGGCCGTGGCAACGGGCACCCTGCTCTCACTGTCCACCTACGGCTCGGCCTCAACCTAGAACTGCCGTCACTCCACCTGGGCCCACCCCAGCCCCACCGCAAAGCTGCCCGTCTCCCGTGCCCGCCTCACCCACGTCCATCCACTCGGGCGGCACCAGCCGGCATTTCTGTCGCTGCTTCAGGTTCACGGCCAGCCACAGCGGCACCTGCAGCGGGAGCCCGGGGAGGAAGGGGCCCAGCTCCCCCTGCCAGGGGGAGGGGTGTCAGGGCCCAGGGGTGCCACCACAGCCGCCCCCCGCCTGGCGCCCAGCCCCACCTTCACACCCCCCAGCGACCCCCCCCCGCCCACCTGGACCCGGGACACCCCCTGAGGGCACTGTCCGTCCATCTGGACCCAGGACACCCCCCCCCCGCCCCCGAGCGCACCTCCCGCCCACCTGGACCCAGGACACCCCCGTGAGGGCACCGTCCATCCACCTGGACCCAGGAGACCTCCCCGAGCGCCCCCCCGCCCACCTGGACCCAGGACATCCCCTCGGTGCACCCCCGCCCACCTGGACCCAGGACATCCCCTCGGTGCACCCCCGCCCACCTGGACCCAGGACACCCCCCCTGAGCCCACCCCCCGCCCACCTGGACCTGCGTCCACCCACACGCCCCCGGGTGTCCCTCCTCTCGCCCACGCCCTTCGCGCCCCGCGGTCCGGGCGAAAGCGGCCGACCCCAGCCCGGCCCGGCGCTCACCCCGATAAGGTAGATCTTGTCCAGGCTGAAGTTCGGGATGATGGTGACCAGCTCCTTCTCGGCCAGAAACTCCACCTCGGCCACGTCCATGCCGGCGCCAGCGAGCCAAGCGGACTCCGCGCCGCTTCCGGCACCGCGTTCCCGCCACCGCGCGCGGCCCGCCCCCGGCCGGAAGCAGCCCCGCCGGCCAATGGGCGCGCCGCTCTCACTTCTGGCGCTGCTACGGGCCCGCCGATTGGCGAGCTGGGCGCGAGCCAGCCCCGCCCCCTCCGCGGCCAGGCCCCGCCCCTCCCGCTCGGGCCCCGCCCCGCGCCGCCCGGGCCCCGCCCCTCCCTCCCAGGCCCCGCCCCTCCCCCAGGCCCCGCCCCGGGCCGGGCCCCGCCCCCCGGAGCTGGCCCGCGGCCCGCGCAGCCTCCGGCTTGTCCTGCTCCTCTGCCCGGGTCACCGGCTCCCGTGACCCTTCCCTGCTCTCGGGCCAGAGCGCTTCACCCCGAGGCAAGCTGGGCAGGCGTCCAGGGCGCGTCCACGCTGGCGTCCGCACCGGGCTGGAATTGCTCGAAATGCCTTAAAACGCAGATTTCTTCCCAACCCCCCACGGGAAGCCGGCTCACGGCGGGGCCTGCGTGGACACGGCCGGGGACACGCCCTCACCGCCAGCCCTTGCTGAGACCGACCACCGGGACGGGGCACAGCTCCGGGACCCCGGCGCTGTCGGGGGTGGGGGGTCCCTGTGCCTGCGGGCGGAGGAAGGGGCCCGCGCCCCCTGCCGGTGCTTCGGGGCGGCCGGGAGCCCCGCCCGGGCTGGGGGAGGGGAGCGGGGCCACCTGGTCCTCCGGAAGTCTGCCGGGAGAGCGTGCCAGCTTGTCTGGGCGCTGATTGATGGGGAGATGTTTTCCTGCCGGGCAAATGTTTGCGCTCGAAGCTGCCAAGGCCTCCCCGCCTCCCGGGTTCTCGCCGCCTGCAAAAGAGCAAAGGGGAAGCTGGCGGGAAGGGGAAGGTCCAGGGAGGAGAGGGGAGGGGGCGAGGGGGCAGGAGGAGAGGGGAGGGCAGGGCGGGCCTAGATGAGGCCGCAGTGCCACCTACTGTCCCAGCTGGTCCAGGAGACAAAGGATACGGCAGAGCGCCTCGGAATGGGGAGCGGCGCCTTTGGGGTGGGAGGGGCACACCTGGGGGTGCTCGGAGCTTACTCAGCATCGGCCTCAGTCTTTCTCAGGCTCAGGACACATGGGGTGCCCGGACGGAAGCTGGGCAGGCAAGGCTGTCGCCCACCCCACTGGACCATCCTTCGGACCCCAGGAGGGGAGCTTTTGCAGGGAGGCAGGAAAGTTCTGGAACTGGTGGTGGCCGCAGTGACGTGTGAGCCACGACATCCGCTGACCGAGGGGCTCGGGCTTGCCAGGCCCCTACAGCCCCTGTAGGTGAAGGGTGCAGAGGAGGGGTGGGGAGGGGCGAAGGGGACTGGAGAGAGATGCAGGGGAGAGGTGGGGGGTGCAGGAGGGCAGAGATGCAGAGGAGTGTGAGGAGGGTTGGAGGGGTGCCGGGGAGGGGTGGGAGTGACTTGAGGGAGGGGCGGGAGGAGAGGTGCAGGGCTCTGTCTTTGGGGGGGCTCACACCCTCACTTCCTGCCAAGTTCCTGCCCCCAAGCCAGCAGCCTCCAGGGCAGAGAGGCGGCTCCTCGGTTGCCCCTGGACCTTGTGTCCCGTGTCCCAGCACGGACGTCCCAGCACGGGACCAGCTTCCCCAGACGTCCATCAGGGCGGGGAGGCAGAACCATCACTCTGGGGCTGTCGCAACTCTGCGGGTCCCGTGAGACCCCGGGGCCGCACAGGACACTGAAGGTGCGGACGTGGACCTTCATGCGGGAAGCTGGGCAGGGGCACAGGGAGGGACTGGCTTGCTGTCCGAGCAACTTGCTCCTGCCCAAAAAGTCACTTCCTGAAACTTCCCCTCGAGAAACTTCAAAGGCTGGAGTCGGCCTCGTGCAGGGACCGGGGCGAGATCCTGCACAGCCCCGCAGCCCCCGCAGCCCCCTCTCCAGGCCCCTGCCCGAGGCACCCAGAACTCTCGGACCTGGCAGACCCGAGTCTCCCACACCGCTTCCCTCGGAAATGCCACTCAGGTTGGCTCCCGGCTGTGGCCCCAAGTAACTGGAGCCTCCCCAGGGTGCCTGAGTGGGCGGAGCCTTCCCAGGGTATCGAGTGGGCGGGCCCTTTCCGGGTGTCTGAGTGGGCGGGGCCCTCGTCCAGAGCGGGGCCCTCCAAGGTGTCTGAGTGGACGGGGCTCCCCAGGTATTGCGAGTGGGCGGAGCCTGAGAGTGGGCGGAGCCTCCCCAGGGTATTGAGTGGGCAGGCCCTCCAGGGTGTGAGTGGGCGGGGCTCTCCAGGGTGCCTGAGTGGGCGGGGCCGCCAGGGTGTCTGAGTGGGCGGGGCTCTCCAGGGTGTCTGAGTGGGCGGGGCCCTCCAGGGTGCCTGAGAGTGGGCGGGGCTCCCCAGGTTATTGAGTGGGCGGAGCCTTCCCAGGGTATTGAGTGGGCGGAGCCGCCAGATTGTGAGTGGGCGGGGCCCTCGGGTGCCTGAGTGGGCGGGGCCCTCCAGGGTGCCTGAGTGGGCGGGGCCGCCAGGGTGCCTGAGTGGGCGGGGCCGCCAGGGTGCCTGAGTGGGCGGGGCCGCCAGGGTATTGAGAGTGGGCGGAGCCTTCCCAGGGTGTCTGAGAGTGGGTGGGGCCCTCCAGGGTGCCTGAGTGGGCGGGGCCGCCAGGGTGTCTGAGTGGGCGGGGCCTTCCAGGGTGCCTGAGAGAGTGTGGTCCTCGGAGGGGCAGTAAGAGGGTGGCTTGGGCCGTGTCCCAGAGGGTGCATGTCCCAGGAAGAGGGAGGGGACCCCCGAGCAGCACCCCTGGGCGACACCCTCGCCGCCCTCCGCCCTGAGCTGAGCTCAGCGCCCTCCTGTTGCCTGGGGGGTCCCCGGGGGAAGGGGGACAGTCTCCGCCTAGTGCACCGCTGTCCCGCCCCCCAGCTGAGGCAGCCGGAGCCTCATCTCCCAGGCCTGGCCTGGCCCTCTGCGCGCTGCGTCTCGGCAGCCAGTGACCGCTCTGACCCGGTGGGTGCACCGTCCCGCTGAGCGCGCGCTTGGCTGCACTGCCAGGTGGGGGGCAGGGCTGGAGGGCGGGGCTGGGAGCCCCCTCCGCTTCTCCCGTGGGCGCGGCCCAGCAGGGCACACGCCAGGCCAGGCGGCACAGGCGTTTGGGGAGCGTGGCAGCCAGGGGCACAGCCTGAAAGCCCGGCCAGGGGCTGCAGCCCCCCTCTCCCCCCCCCCCAGGACCCCCACAGCGCCAGCTTTGTCCCCCGCACAGCATGGCTGAGCTGAAATGGCTCCAGCCGGGTGCGAATCCACGCCTGTGTCTTCTGCCATCTGCCGCTGTCATTAAAAACCACATTTCCATCTGCTTCCACGGCACCAGGCCCACGCGGCAGACCCTCATGTTCCCTCGCCTCTCGGCCTGGAGCACCCGAGTCAGAGTTCACGGCCGTGCAGTCCCCTCCCCCACCTTGGTCCCCCCTCGGGCCGGGCCCTCCTGCAAACACTCATTGCGGGGGCAGGAGCAGCACCGCTCAGTGGCTGCGGCTGGGGCTGCTCAGAATGCCCGGCTTCGGCACTGAAACCAAGTGGGCATTGCAGGGGCTGGCCCTGCCCCCACTCCAGAGCTGGGCAGGAGCGTCCGGCTACGCACCGGGTGTGGCGTGGCGTGTGGCCCTAAAGCTTGCAAACGTTCTTACTTACTTGGCAGGATGCCCCCACGCACGTCCATGTAGAGGCGCCTGGGCCACCGCCACAGGGCAGGCGGCACTCCCCGCGCTGTGCTCGGGGGTCCTGGCAGGGCGCAGGGGACCGGGTGGTGCTGAAGGTCACGTGTGCTCGCCGCGTGCAGGGCAAGAGCCTGAACCCCTGTGCAGTCGCTCAATAAAAGTAAATTAAAAAAATGTGGGGCCAGCCAGAGCTCACACTGCGGGCAGGACGCGGGTCTCACACATGTGACACAGCTCACCGGGAGCCACACAGGAGGTGCTGCTGGGGCGGCACGAACTAGCAAAAACATGGGGCCCGGGGTGACAGCACAGCGGGGCTGTTGTCCTGGCAAACGGCCAGCCTGGGCGCAGGCCCCAGCACCCCGTACGCCCCCCAAGCCCGCAGGAGTAACTGAGTGCAGAGCCAGGAGTCAGCCAAAAGTAGGCCCTGAGCACTGTGGAGTGTGGTCCCAAACAAGCAAAACCAAAACTGAGATAAGCTCAGGGCTGGGGAGGCAGCTGGGGGCGACGTGCTCAGCACAGCAGCCCGGGCCGGCCCGGCACCCCTGGACGGAGGCAGCAGCCCCCGCGCTGCCGGGTGGCCGGAAGCGGGAACACGGAAGGGACTGCAGACACTGGAGCGCTACCTCCTAGCTCAGGAACAGGCTCGTGGCAGGGATGGAGCAACAGGACATCAGGTCGGTGCCACATATGGTCCCTCAGCCCACCAGGAGTGAGCCCTGAGCACTGAGCACAGAGCCAAGAGTAAGCCCTGAGCACCACCTGTGTGGTCCCCAAACAAACAGACAAAAAGGAGCGGACTCAAGAACTAAAAATCAGGGGCTGGAGCAATAGCACAGCGGGGAGGGCGTTTGCCTCGCACGCGGCCAACCTGGGTTCAATTCCCAGCATCCCATATGGTCCCCCGAGCACGGCCAGGAGTGATTCCTGAGTGCAGAGGCAGGAGGAACCCCTGAGCATCACTGACTGTGCCCCCCCCCAGAAAAAAAGAACTAAGAATCAGGGCTGGGGAGATGGCAGGACTTGCCCCCAAGTACTGCGTCCCCCAAGTACCCCGAGGAGCAGCCAATATGTCCTCGCCCTGCAGTGAGCCAGAACTGGCCGAGCACCACAGGGTGTGGCCCAAAACAAAACCAAAAGTAGGGCAAAAAAGAATCAGGGCAAGGAGATAAAGGTCAGAGCTTACACCCCATGTGCTGGAAGGCCGACAAGGACCCATGCTACGGGCACCCCCGCCCTGGAGCCTGCCGGTCTGAGCCCTAAGGTCCCAGGGACTTCTGGGAACTGCCCAGAACTGCTAAAGCTCTAAGCACTGCTGGGAAGAGTTCCAGTATTCCTAGGAATATCTCCAGTGCTACTGGATTAAAGCCCCA